CGACGAAAATTAGATTGTTGTCGATATTCAGAAAAGACACAGCAGATGGCAGCATAACAGCTTCTCCATTAATAACCATTGAACAAAAAACTCCTTCATATTTCAACATCCATATGACATTAACATGTCAGTATGGTATAAATCCCTGTTGAATGTTTTTGATACTTTAAAGACAAAAGAGGGTTAAAATCAATACTAGTTGTGTGATCATTGTGTCTTATGAAGTTGCCCTTTTTTCTTGGTATTCAAACACAGATGTATTTATAATTAGATGAAAGTTCTCAGATATTTTTTCTAAAAAGGAAAATAATAAAGATTTCATTAAATTCAAATTATTTTGTTATTAAAGCAGTTTTGTTATTTTTCTTAATATATTCGGTTAAGATGGTGTTTCTTGTTATTACATTGACATTAATTTTTGTCATCAAAATATTAATATTTTTTGAATGTTACAAAGGTGATAAGGTCTTGTCCTGATTCCAATAACACTATTGGCTTGAAATTTTGATTTTTAAGGTCAGAAAACAAAGTAGATACATAGATGCCACAAAATCACGGAGTAACTTCTGCTGCACTAAGATAGTTTTTAAGAATAAATATCTGCACTGGACCAACACTGATGCTGCTTGCAAACACAAAGGTTCCCACTAGGGATTTTAATATGTATTAAAAAAATGCAGTTAATTAAGTCCATTTTTTAAACACATTAAAGGCATAGAGGGCGATCTTTTTTTTCCTTGTGGATCATCTAAATAAGTGGTCCTCCTAAATGTCCATAATTATGGTTTCATGTTTACATAAGGCCATCCTACATGCTCGAGCCGTTAGCTATTTTTTTGCTCACATGCGTACTTTCTGCCGCATATGTGTGGTGAGGTACGGTTTCAGTCATTGAAGCTCACCTTTCTCACTGCAGTTCTTTGAAAATTGCTGAGGGTCATAAGAGAAAAAGTGTCTATGAAGTGTATGAGAATAAAAGGAAGGCCTCAGAAGGGGCAGATATATCCCAGAATGCTTTGCATGGAGAGCTCTCCTTGAATATTTAGAAAATTCAATACTTGAGTAGATGTTTGACCGAGTAACGTTGAATTGTAGTTAAATAAGATTAGAGTATAAGTAGCAATACTTTACTCAAGTACTACTGTTGAGCACTTAATCCACAACTGGACATATGCAGTGGAGATTATTTTACTCCAAAGATCTGAATGGGTGTGTACACTGGAAATTAGTGAACATTTCTTAAATTAAGTGTATTTACCCTTTATTTGAGCAGGAAAATAAGAGGATTTTCCAATGGAATGAGATTTATTTACTCTCAAAATAAGATAAATAGATAATATGCACTTTAAATAAGACAATGCAGTTTTTTTTCTTTTGTATGTAAATGATCTTATTCTGTTGGCAAAGTATCTCACTTACCTCCTCAAATTAAGAAAAAATGCACTTATTTTAAGAAAAAATGACTTATCTAGATTTCGATGTATTTCCAGTGTACATGGCTGCAAAATGGATTGGAAAAAAAACCAACTCTCCTTCGGATTGAAATTTCTTTCTAAATTCAGATTTATTGTCAAATATTTCAGTAGAAAACCTTAGAAAGCGGCCAGTGAGCTTTAGAACTCGCTCCTTTGCCTTATTAAATGCAGCTTTGACTGAACTCACCTTTAGGTCAGCATGAAACTATGATAATGCAGAAAAACAGGCTCTGCTAATTAGCTGGTGCAATTAGC